AATTGAAAAATAGTTCAAAAATTGGAAAAAACTGACAATGGAAAATCGAAAACGTGCAGCATGAAACATCGAATAATTTTAGAATTTTAAAAGTGAAAATAAATTTATAATTGAAAAATTGAACTTAAAAATTAAAAATAGAGAAACGAAAAATCGCAAAATTAAAAACAACGAACATTAAAATAGCTACAAATGAAAAATCGTATAATATTAAATCGAGAAAATAAAAATCGCATACACTAAAAAATTGAGGAATCGAAAATCGAAAAATTGAGAAACCGAAAAATTATATAGTCGAAGAATCGCAAAAATGAAAACAAAAAATTAAAACACATAACTAGAACTGAAAATTTGAAAAATAATTCAAAAATCGGAAAATATCGAAAAAATGCAAAATGAAAAATTTTATAAGCTTACGATTTTTCGACTTCTGATTTCCCGATTTTCAGTTTTTCATTTTTTAAACTTTGGATTTTTCAATTTTCGGCTGTTTTATATTTCGATTTCTCAATTGTTCAACTTTTCGATATTTTAATTTTTCGATTTTTAAAATTCTAGATTTTTGATTTTTCGAGTTTTCGGTTCTTCTATATTCCATTTTTTCAATTTTCGGGATTTTTAAAATTTTCGATTTTCCGTTTTTTTTTTAACTTTTCGATTTTTTTGTCTTTGCACTGATATAAAAGTTGAAGCGAAACAAATTTTAAAATGTTTAAAAACCGGAAAACGACAAACCGCAAAATGAAAAAAAGAAATATAAAATTGAAGACTTGAAAAACTTAAAAATTGGAAAATCGTAAAATTGCAAAATCGTCAAATTAAATATTGAGATTTGAAAAATCGCAAAATTGAAATCAACGAAAAATTAAAATATATCTAAAAATTACTAAGTCGCAACATTTCAATTCCAGAAAGTAAAAATCGAAAAGCTGCAAAATCGAAAAATAGAAAAATTGCAACAATGAAACCTCGAAAAGTTTAAGAACTGATACTCGAAAAGTTGAAAATTGAAGAACAGAAAAGTTGAAAAATCCGAAAATTAAAAATTGAGGAACGAAAAATCGCAAAATTGAAAACATAAAAATAAAATAACTAAAAATTAAAAAATTGAAAAATAGTTCAAAAATTGGAAAAAACTGACAATGGAAAATCGAAAACGTGCAGCATGAAACATCGAATAATTTTAGAATTTTAAAAGTGAAAATAAATTTATAATTGAAAAATTGAACTTAAAAATTAAAAATAGAGAAACGAAAAATCGCAAAATTTAAAACAACGAACATTAAAATAGCTACAAATGAAAAATCGTATAATATTAAATCGAGAAAATAAAAATCGAAAACACTAAAAAAATGAGGAATCGAAAATCTAAAAATTGAGAAACCGAAAAATTATATAATCGAACAATCGCAAAACTGAAAACAAAAAATTAAAACACATAACTAGAACTGAAAATTTGAAAAATAATTAAAAATCCGAAAATATCGAAAAAATGCAAAATGAAAAATTTTATAAGCTTACGATTTTTCGACTTCTGATTTCCCGATTTTCAGTTATTCGTTTTTTAAACTTTAGATTTTTCAATTTTCGGCTGTTTTATATTTCGGTTTCTCAAATTTTCAACTTTTCGATATTTTAATTTTTCGATTTTTAAAATTCTAGATTTTTGATTTTTCGAGTTTTCGGTTCTTCTATATTCCATTTTTTCAATTTTCGGGATTTTTAAAATTTTCGATTTTCCAATTATTTTTAACTTTTCGATTTTTTTGTCTTTGCACTGATATAAAAGCTGAAGCGAAACAAATTTTAAAATGTTTAAAAACCGGAAAACGACAAACCGCAAAACGAAAAAAAGAAATATAAAATTGAAGAATTGAAAAACTTAAAAATTGGAAAATCGTAAAATTGCAAAATCGTCAAATTAAATATTGAGATTTGAAAAATCGCAAAATTGAAATCAACGAAAAATTAAAATATATCTAAAAATTACTAAGTCGCAACATTTCAATTCCAGAAAGTAAAAATCGAAAAGCTGCAAAATCGAAAAATAGAAAAATTGCAACAATGAATCCTCGAAAAGTTTAAGAACTGATACTCGAAAAGTTGAAAATTGAAGAACAGAAAAGTTGAAAAATCCGAAAATTAAAAATTGAGGAACGAAAAATCGCAAAATTGAAAACATAAAAATAAAATAACTAAAAATTAAAAAATTGAAAAATAGTTCAAAAATTGGAAAAAACTGACAATGGAAAATCGAAAACGTGCAGCATGAAACATCGAATAATTTTAGAATTTTAAAAGTGAAAATAAATTTATAATTGAAAAATTGAACTTAAAAATTAAAAATAGAGAAACGAAAAATCGCAAAATTAAAAACAACGAACATTAAAATAGCTACAAATGAAAAATCGTATAATATTAAATCGAGAAAATAAAAATCGCATACACTAAAAAATTGAGGAATCGAAAATCGAAAAATTGAGAAACCGAAAAATTATATAGTCGAAGAATCGCAAAAATGAAAACAAAAAATTAAAACACATAACTAGAACTGAAAATTTGAAAAATAATTCAAAAATCGGAAAATATCGAAAAAATGCAAAATGAAAAATTTTATAAGCTTACGATTTTTCGACTTCTGATTTCCCGATTTTCAGTTTTTCATTTTTTAAACTTTGGATTTTTCAATTTTCGGCTGTTTTATATTTCGATTTCTCAATTGTTCAACTTTTCGATATTTTAATTTTTCGATTTTTAAAATTCTAGATTTTTGATTTTTCGAGTTTTCGGTTCTTCTATATTCCATTTTTTCAATTTTCGGGATTTTTAAAATTTTCGATTTTCCGTTTTTTTTTTAACTTTTCGATTTTTTTGTCTTTGCACTGATATAAAAGTTGAAGCGAAACAAATTTTAAAATGTTTAAAAACCGGAAAACGACAAACCGCAAAATGAAAAAAAGAAATATAAAATTGAAGACTTGAAAAACTTAAAAATTGGAAAATCGTAAAATTGCAAAATCGTCAAATTAAATATTGAGATTTGAAAAATCGCAAAATTGAAATCAACGAAAAATTAAAATATATCTAAAAATTACTAAGTCGCAACATTTCAATTCCAGAAAGTAAAAATCGAAAAGCTGCAAAATCGAAAAATAGAAAAATTGCAACAATGAAACCTCGAAAAGTTTAAGAACTGATACTCGAAAAGTTGAAAATTGAAGAACAGAAAAGTTGAAAAATCCGAAAATTAAAAATTGAGGAACGAAAAATCGCAAAATTGAAAACATAAAAATAAAATAACTAAAAATTAAAAAATTGAAAAATAGTTCAAAAATTGGAAAAAACTGACAATGGAAAATCGAAAACGTGCAGCATGAAACATCGAATAATTTTAGAATTTTAAAAGTGAAAATAAATTTATAATTGAAAAATTGAACTTAAAAATTAAAAATAGAGAAACGAAAAATCGCAAAATTAAAAACAACGAACATTAAAATAGCTACAAATGAAAAATCGTATAATATTAAATCGAGAAAATAAAAATCGCATACACTAAAAAATTGAGGAATCGAAAATCGAAAAATTGAGAAACCGAAAAATTATATAATCGAACAATCGCAAAACTGAAAACAAAAAATTAAAACACATAACTAGAACTGAAAATTTGAAAAATAATTAAAAATCCGAAAATATCGAAAAAATGCAAAATGAAAAATTTTATAAGCTTACGATTTTTCGACTTCTGATTTCCCGATTTTCAGTTATTCGTTTTTTAAACTTTAGATTTTTCAATTTTCGGCTGTTTTATATTTCGGTTTCTCAAATTTTCAACTTTTCGATATTTCAATTTTTCGATTTTTAAAATTCTAGATTTTTGATTTTTCGAGTTTTCGGTTCTTCTATATTCCATTTTTTCAATTTTCGGGATTTTTAAAATTTTCGATTTTCCAATTATTTTTAACTTTTCGATTTTTTTGTCTTTGCACTGATATAAAAGCTGAAGCGAAACAAATTTTAAAATGTTTAAAAACCGGAAAACGACAAACCGCAAAACGAAAAAAAGAAATATAAAATTGAAGAATTGAGAAACTTAAAAGTTGTAAAATCGTAAAATTGCAAAATCGTCAAATTAAATATTGAGATTTGAAAAATCGCAAAATTGAAATCAACGAAAAATTAAAATATATCTAAAAATTACTAAGTCGCAACATTTCAATTCGAGAAAGTAAAAATCGAAAAGCTGCAAAATTGAAAAATAGAAAAACTGCAACAATGAAACCTTGAAAAGTTTAAGAACTGATACTCGAAAAGTTGAAAATTGAAGAACAGAAAAGTTGAAAAATCCGAAAATTAAAAATTGAGGAACGAAAAATCGCAAAATTGAAAACATAAAAAAAAATAACTAAAAATTAAAAAATTGAAAAATAGTTCAAAAATTGGAAAAAACTGACAATGAAAAATCGAAAACGTGCAGCATGAAACATCGAATAATTTAAGAATTTGAAAAAGTGAAAATAAATTTATAATTGAAAAATTGAACTTCAAAATTAAAAATAGAGAAACGAAAAATCGCTAAATTAAAAACAACGAACATTAAACTAGCTACAAATGAAAAATCGTATAATATTAAATCGAGAAAATAAAAATCGAAAACACTAAAAAATTGAGAAACCGAAATAAATCGAACAATCGCAAAACTGAAAACAAAAAATAAAACACATAACTAAAAGTGAAAATTTGAAAAATAATTCAAAAATCGGAAAATTTCGAAAAAATGCAAAATGAAAAATTTTATAGGCTTACGATTTTTCTGTATATATGTATATTGTTTCTTCCTCAGAGATTTAGACATAATTTATCAACTGAAATGTCTGAAGCGACCCCATCGCCTAGATTTACAGCGGCACTGGTCGATCCAGGGCGCGGCGCCGACGTACGCCACAACCCACACTATATCCGATCCAAATCGAGTATGCAAACAGTGGAAATAGATTTAGACATCACCGACATCTTTTTTAATTTAGTAAATTATAGGAGTAGATAAAATTGTTCTAAAAACAATTAGTCATCACGAATTTTACATTAAACAGTGCTTTCGGGAGACTGTAACATCCTAGTCAGTGGCGCTGGTCTAATCATCATCTTCGCATGCTTAAGATAGTAATTCTTTCCACGGAATGTAGTCCAATAGATTCCATCCCTCTTTTCGAACATTTCACTCTCCTCGTAATATTCACCAGTAAGCAATGATTCGCTGCAATTGCGGAACCACCATCCTGCATTTTTTTTAAAAACACATTCGAAAGTTTGGGGATCTCGGTTGTGGTCTAACGTGCTGAACTTAGAGCCAAGACTATCACTGAACGAATCCCCAGCACTGCCCTGGTATCCTCCCAACTTCTTCAACATATAACCTTCATCTTCATCACCAACTTCAAAAGAATCGTACAACGCGTATGCTTTGTCCGAGTTCCAATCTTCCAGTTCCACGAATAGCTCATTATTTTGGTCACCTATTATAAAAAAAAAAAAAACAATTTTGTCGCAACAAAACGAGATAAAAACCTGTTAAATAGTGTAAGGAGTCCAACCCCAACCAAAAGTCTCCGTTGATGTTGCCAAACCCGTGTTTGTAGTAATGCCACGGTAAATCGAACTTTTGAGACCCGTTGTACCTGTTGAGGACGTAGGTCCAACCGCCCCTCAGGGTCTCCATGTCGCACAAGACCAAGAATGGCCGTTTGGCAAGCGTGGGCTTGATATAATAAAAAGTGGAGTCAAAGTAGCCCTGTTGTAGGGCGTGATGGCAACTTTGTTGAGGACCTTGTGCTAACATTTTGAATGGTTCCACTCTTTCTATCTTGGTTTCTGAATCTGTAATTATTTTCTCTAGTTTTTTTACGCGTTGGGCAAGGTTATCAGCTCTCATTACGAGATTAAAGATGTAGTTTAGGAGAATGGGTGAGGTGGAGACACCCACATTCTATAAGAACTAGAATTGGTAAAACGAATTATGTCTGCGTGGACTTACTTCTTCATCATGGTTGACTAAACATGTCGCCGAAATTATAACTGCCAGGAAAACAAGTGAGTGCATTTTATTCGTTGTCAATAACAAACTGTTCCTTGTACGCTGTTCGTATTGTATTTATCGAAATTTTATCCCTAAGATTATTTAGTAGGTCGTCGATCTATTTGGAGTGGTTATCTATATCAAGTTTGTAAACAGTGAAAATGTTACGTTTACGCTTTCTCAAACTTAGAATACTAAATATTATTTATATAAATATTAGTTCGGCAGTGTCAAAGATAAACTACTCCCCGTCAAAAGCGCTAGGACGCGATTTCCCAATTTTCCCGACCATATTTTTTCTGACGCTATTTTCTTTTCTGAGACATGTTCTGAGTTTTCACCCTAGACATCCACATTTTTGGAAAAAAATCACAATTTTTGCAACTTCTCTTCGATCAACTTTAGATATCACAATTTTTGGTGTTTTTATTTTCTTTCAATTTTCAATATTTCTATTTTTCGGTGTTTCAGTTTTATAATTTTTCGTTTATTAACTTCAATTTTTGAATTTCTCGACATTCAAATTTTTCAGTTTTTTGATTTGAAATTTTTTGAACTCTGCAAATTTTCTTTCCTTTATTTTTTTCAATGTTTCTTTTCCGATTTCTTTAATTTTTTAAGTTCGTGATTCCGATTTTTAAAATTTTCAAAGCTTTGATTTTGTACTTTCGCATTTTTCATTTTTGATTTTTCGATTTTACAATTTTGCAGTTTTCCAATTTTTTATTAGAAAAGTTGGAAAATCGAAGAACTGAAAATCTAAAAATCAAATTAATGAAACGAAAAACTGGAAAGAAGAGACAACAAATCGAATAAAAAAACTGGAAAAATCCAAAACCGTAAACTAGAAAAAATGCTAATAAAAAACTGAACAAATGAAAAATTGGAAAAACGAGAAACTGAAAAATCTAAAATTGAAAACTGGAAAATTGCAAATCGAAAAACTGAAAAGTTGCACACTGAAATAAAGAAAAACTGAAAAAATACAAAAAATAAACCGAAAAATGAAAGAAAAATTACAAAATCTAAATTACACCCACAGTTGGAAAACCAAAAATCAAATACATTAAAAAATGAAAATGAAAAACTGAAAAATAGCGAAAAATGATAATAATAAATGAAAAAATTTTAAAATCCAATGATTTTAAAATGAAAAAAAATCTAAAGCAATTTTCAACAAAATGAAAGCTGATATGACTTCTGGGGCCCGAAATCTACAAGAAAATGTATTTAATGAAATTTCGAAAATTTTGTTGAAAATTGGTCCAAGAATTGGTGGTATTTTGCACATTTTTGTACATTTCAAATGACGATTTTGGAAGAACCATTGGAGATATCGAAGAAATGAAAGCGGATATGACTTCTGGGACCCGAAATTTACAAGAAAATGTATTTAGTGAAATTTCGAAAATTTCCTTGAAAATTGGTCCAAGAATTGGTGGTATTTTGCACATTTTTGTACATTTCAAAGGGCGATTTTGGAAGAACCATTGGAGATATCGAAGAAATGAAAGCGGATATGACTTCTGGGGCCCGAAATCTAAAAGAAAAAAGTAACTACAAATTTCAATTTTCGAAAAATAATTGAATAAATGAAAATTTTTGAAATTATATCATTACAAAAGGAAAACTGAAAAAATTGACGATCAAAAATTGAAAAATTGAAAATCATGAAACTGAAAAATCTAAAATTGAAAAAACGAAAAACTAAATCGGAAAACTGAAGACTTGAAAAATCAAAAAATCAAAAAACTGTAAACTATAGAAACGAAAAATTGAAAAAATAAGGATAATAAAACCGAAAATAAAAATTGGAAAGTCAAAATGAATGAAAAAGTTTTAAAAACAAATAATTGAAAAATGGAAAATTCCTAGAATCGTAAAACTAAAAAACTGAAAAATTTCACATTGAAAAAAACAACAAAATCTGAACCGAAAAATTGAAAAAATAAAGAAAATAAAAAACCAAAACGAAAAATTCGAAATCGAAATATGAAACAAAAATTGCAAAATCCAAACAAACAAAAATTTGAAAAAGGAAAACTCAAAAAGTTGATTGTCGTAAAATTGAGAAAAATAATTGAATAAATGAAAAAGTTTTAAAATCCAATATTTGAAAAATGGTAGAAATTATTATTATTACGATTACGTATTTAAAATCAGAACTAGAAAAATTAGAAATACAAAATTGGAAAATTAAAAATCATGAAACTGAAAAATCTAAAATTGAAAAAATGAAAAAATAAACAATCTAAAACTTGAAAAATCGGAAAACTGAAGACATGAAAAATTAAAAACTCGTGAGACTGTAAATCGAAAAATTGCAAAATCTAAGAAGCGAACATTAATAAATCGGAACATGGAAAAATCGAAAAATTTTAAAAATGTATAAATAAATTGCGAAACAAAATTTGAAGAAATGAAAAACGAAGAATCAAAAAAATGAAAACTCAAAGTTTTAAAATCAAATAATTGAAAAATGGAAAATTTCTAGAATCGTAAAATTAAAGGACTGAAAAATCCAAAAACTGAAAAATTTCACTTTGAAAAAACATTACAAAATCAGAACTGAAAAATTTTAAAAATTAAGGAAATAAAAACCAAAACGAAAAATTCGAATTCGAAAAATAAAAGAAAAATTACAAAATCCAAACATCCAAAAATTAGAAAATGAAAACTCAAAAAGTGCAATATCGTAAAATTGAAAAAAAAAATAATAAAAAATTGAGAAATAAATGAAAGTTTGAAAATTCGGAAAATAATTGAATAAATGAAAAAGTTTTAAAATCCAATAATTGAAAAATGGAAAAATTCTAAAATCGTAAAACCAGAAAAATCGCAAATCAAAAGGTGAAAAATTAAAAACCATGAAATTGAAAAATCCAAAATTGAAAAAACGAAAATAGCAAGTCGAAAAACTGAAAACAAAAAATTAAAAAATCGAAAAACTGAAAAATTTAAAAATACAAACTTGAAGAGTTGCAAATCGTAAAACTGAAGAAACAAAAAAAATCAAAGACTGAAAAATTGCAAATCGAAAAATTAAAGAAAAGAAGAAACTGAGACTGTAAAAATCAAAAATTATTAAATCAGAACATTAGAAAATCGAAAAATTGTAAAAATAAAGACAAAAAAAATCGAAAAATTGAAAAGTCAAATAAACGTCAAAATTCTAAAGTCTAATAATTGAAAAATGAAAAATTTCTAAAATCGTAAAATTGAAAAATTTCACATTGAAAAAAGAAAAATTATAAAATCAGAACCGAAAGCCTGAAAAAATAAAGAAAGTAAAAAACCGAAACGAAAAATTCCAAATCGAAAAATGGAAGAAAAATTACAAAATCTAAACACCCAAAAGTTGGAAAATGAAAACCAAAAAGTTGCATATGTCGTAAAAATGAAAAAAAAATGAAAAATTACAAATGAATATTTGAAAATTCGAAAAATTCCAAAATCGTAAAATTGAATAAGTCAATTTTTTTTTAATTATTATTATTATTATTACACTAAAAAACTGAAAAACCCGAAATTGAAAAAACGAAAAATTAAACAATATAAAAGTTGAAAAATCGAAAAACTGCAAATCTAAAAACTGAAAACATGAAAAAATAAAAAATCGAAAAACTGAAAAATTTTAAAATGAAAACTCGAATAGTTGCAAATCGTAAAACTGAAAGACCAAAAAAAAAAAATTGAAAAATTGCAAATCTAAAAATTAAAGAAACGAAAAATTGAAAAAACAATGGAAAATCGAAAAATTGTAAAAATAAAGATAAAAAAACGAAAATAAAAATTGCAAATAGAGAATTTGAAGAAATGAAAAAACGAAGAACCGAAAATTTGAAAAATTAAAAATCGAAAATTGAAAAGTCAAATAAATATGTAATTGAAAAATGGAAATTTTTAAAATCGTAAAACTGAAAAAGACAAAAATCCAAAAACTGAAAAATTTCACATTGAAAAAAGAAAAATTATAAAATCAGAACCGTAAAACTGAAAAAATGAAGAAAATAACAAAACGGAAACGAAAAATTTGAAATCGAAAAATGGAAAAAAAATTACAAAAACTGAACACCCAACAGTTGGAAAATTACAAATGAAAATGTGAAAATTCGGAAAATAATTGAATAAAACCTAAAAAGTGAAATTTTTTTTAAATTATTACATATTTAAAATGAAACCTAGAAAAGTTACTAATCAAAAATTGAAAAATTCAAAGTCATGAAACTGGAAAATCTAAAATTGAAAAACGAAAAATTAAACAAACTAAAGTTAAAAAATCGAAAAACTGAAAAATTTTAAAATGAAAACTCATAAAATTAAAGAGAAGAAAAATTGAAAAACTGAGATTGTAAAAGCCAAAAGATAAAATCCGAACATTGAAAAATCGAAAAGTTGCAAAAAAGAATATTATTATTATTATAAAAAGATAATAAAAACAGAAAAGAAAAAGTGCAAATTGAAATTTTGAAGAAATTGAAAAACGAAGAATTGAAGAATTGGAAAATTAAAACCTAAAAATTGAAAAGTCGAATAAATGAAAAAGCTTTAAAATCCAATAATTGAAAATTGGAAAAAATTATAAAATCGTACAATTAAATAAGTATTTTTTTTTAATTATTAAATGACAAAATGAAAAATTAAACAATCTAAAAATTGAAAAATTGAAAAACCAAAAATCAAATTAATGAATTGAAAAATTGGAAAGAAGAGAAAACAGATCGAATCGAAAAATTAGAAAAACCCAAAAATGTAAACTAGAAAAAATGCTAATAAAAAATTGAAGAAATGAAAAATTGAAGAAACGAGAAACTGAAAAATCTATAATTGAAAAATCCAAAATTTGAGAAATCTCAAAGTTGAAAAATCAAGAAATTGAAAACTGGAAAATCGCAAATCGAAGAACTGAAAAGTTGCACACTGAAAAAAAGAAAAACTGAAAAAATACAAAAAATAAACCGAAAAATGAAAGAAAAATTACAAAATCTAAATTTCACCCACAGTTGGAAAACCAAAAATCAAAAACTTTAAAAAATGAAAATGAAAAACTG